TTTTATCTAAGAGAGAAGAAAGTTAGATTGTTGGTATCACTGCAGCCAACAAATGCTCAATAAATATTGGATGAGTGAACAGATGGGGGAAAATCCATTGCAGTTTTCCACTTTCATATCAAATAATTGAATTGTAAGGCTTTATTGTTGGAAACGATATTATAATTCACCTAATCAAATTTCTTTCTCCTAGAAGAAATTATTTTCCTGACTATATTTTAAGAGTGATAACCGTCATGGTTTGGATGTCTGCTGTGCGCCAAACATTGTCCTAAGGACTTTGCACGAATTATTTCAGGCGGATCTTCAATAACACCAATGTTGTAAAGGAATCTTCTAGAACAGAATTCCTATTTTAAACAGCTTTATGTCTGACTTCCTATTTCACGGGAACCACATGGAGAGTGAGGTCTGTGTTTACTGTGGCTTTCTGCAGCTGTCCCATCATTCGATAAGGTGCCATCAGGATGTCCCCTGGGAGCATCTCACAGGCCCCCTGCCCAGACCCACACACCTTTCACCAGTTCCCGTGGAGACCTACTCTGAGAGATGATGCATGTTACCAAAGCGCTTCTGTTATTGCTTCGAGCATGGAAAGGGAGGCAGGCAGTCCCAGGATAGCGAAGGTGCTGTTTTCCTGTGCAGTCTTCCTTGGGGACACCATGACCTTCAAACACCGAATGGCAGAGTCTGAAACTGACCCAGCTCCTGATTCAGCCCTTGCTGACATTAGTCCCAGGAAGGTTTATTATTGTAAAGGGTTTTATTCATTTTCTACAATGTTCCCTAGATACCCATTTTAAAGGTAGCGAAAATGGGATTATCCACTGTTACAGGAGTCTGGGGTGGCATCAGGTGATGAAGCCCACATAAAATCTCCTCGTTGGACTTGGCTGCCATGTTCCCCACTTGAGCAACCCGGGGAACCACTGGTGTGGAGGTGCTGGGTTTGAGAGCACGATATTCACTGGTGTCTACAGCACCTGCATTTCATTTTTTCAATATTTTGAAATGAAAACATATTTGCGCCATTTCTCCTTCCCTTTCCTTCCTTCAACATTTCGCATGTTCCCCACAAATACCTGACCTCTTTTTCTTTTTTTGTTGTTTCATATATGTGTGTGTGCATAAATCTATAAACACAACGTGCTCGGTTCATTCAGTGTTACTCGTATGTTTGTGGTTTCAGGGATGACCATTTGGTATTGATAACAGTCAGGGGGCTCACCCCTGGGGACGACTATCTCTTCTGCTCCCAGCTTTCTGCAGTGCCTGCTCCCAGCTTTCTGCAGTGCCTGTACTTTGTGTATGGGCGGGGCCCCGTGAGCTTCCCCTTCATATTAGCGACTAGCCAACACTCAGTGCTTTGGGATCATCTAGTTTTGCCTCTTCTTTTAAATGCAATACACCCTGGAAGCAGGAGCCCTAGATTGTTTTCATGATTAGCTTCATATTTAAAGGCCCTCGGGAATCTACAGATGACGGCAGAGGCTGCCTAAGAAATCTGGAAAGTGGAACTTGTGAGTCCTGACTCTGTCCCCTGCCTTCCCCATCTCACTAGATCTGAGGGCTAGTGCAACACCCATCACTTAGGAAGCTAGTTAGAGGTGGGGGAGGGGTCAGAATTTCTCTATATAGCCCAGACTGACCTTAAATACTGGGATCCTCCTGGCTCTGCCTTCCAGAGTCCTGGGATTAAAGGTGTAAACCCCCATGCCCTGCTGAGTAAGGTGTCTTCCTCTAAGATTTGTTTTATTTTTTTTACTCTCAGAGATCACAAGGTCCTAAAGATATAGTCACTAGCCTAGTTTTGCGCAGGACCCCAGCTGATAGCAAACCATGTTACGTCTTTATATCAAAAACCACTTGGATTCTTTCTGGCTTACACAGCTGTAGCCCGCTCTCCTTGCCGTGTTTCCTAGGGATGCTCTTCAGACACTTTAGGAGGCAAGAATGGGTCATCACAAGGTCAAAGCTGGCATGCCCCAACTCCAGGAAAAACTGACAACTCATCGCCCTGACCTCAGTGGCCTCTCGCTTGGGGTCAAGCCTAACGCAAGCGCTGTATCTCCTGCTCAGGCACAGACAAAAGGGGCCCTGAACTTGGCACAGCGTGTTCTTCCACAGTCTCTAGCCAGCTTGCAAGCTGTTGCCCATCGAGCCAGAGCGAGATTTCTTTGGCAAGAAGACAAAAAGAATTTCTTCTGAGGTATTCTGACAGCTTGCTCCTGAGGCCCCTCTCACGTGCATCCCAGGGATCCGGACCCTGTCACTTTCCTGCAACAGGAGCTGGTCCCATGAAGAGCGAAGTTTTCTGTTACTTTCCTGCAACAGGAGCTGGTCCCATGAAGAGTGAAGTTTTCTGTTGGCCCAGCTTAGAGCACAACCTGGTCCACTGCAGCCCTAGCAACAGCCTCCTTCAGTGCCATCCTTGGACCCTAGACAACGCAGCTAATTGTTTGCACTGGGCACTAGTGTGTTCAGAGCTTGGGCGTCCAAACGGACAATTATTTTCGGTTCTTCGCTGGCGGCGCTGCCTGCCTGGTGACTTTGGCAGACGGAGAAAAGAGCTAATCCGTAGGTTACAGGCAGAAGGGTTATTGATGAAATGTCACCATCTGTCGGTGTCATTAAAATGATATGAGTCACAAAGAGTTGCTTTTGTCTTTTCTCAAAAAAAAGGGGGGGCAGCTTGGCGCTTAGAGAGAGGTTGCTAAGTTGTGGATGGCAGCAGAAAGAGGAGTGTGGTGGATTCATCGGATAGGCTGACTGGTCTTCAAGAAGGCCAGTCCCCAGCTGGCTTAAACCCCCGACTTGGTATGAAATGCCATACCCCATGAAGACTGGCAGACTGGCAGACTGGCATAGTACGTTGACTCTCAGTGCCTAGCTCTTGAATATCGACCAGGTGTGGAAGGGAAAATCACCCGCTAGGTTACATGAGGAAGATCTCGTCGGTTGGAAACGTAATATGCCTCCAGCCTTCTTAGTCTTCACTGCCCCGTGGCACACAGATTACCACTCTTGTATCCAGATGGCACCCTAGGTACGTGAGCCCATAGGAGATAGATAGATGTCTCTGCGGGTCACCTCTCCTCCAAGGATGGCATGATGAGGACCAGGGAGGGAGTCCCCGGGAAAGGGTAAAGACAACGGGGGGTAGAATGGCTTCTGTGCCACATTAGCAAAGGGGTTGGAGAGGCGAGGTGTGTGCTTTGGCAACCAAACTGCGCCAGCTTCTTTACCTAATCCCCACAGTTCTCTCACATTTGTGTTTGAGGATTCTTTGTTTCTTTTCTTTTTTTTTTTTCTTTTCTCTTTTGGTTTTTCTAGACAGGGTTTCTCTGAGTAGCTTTGGAGCCTCTCTCAGAACTCTGTCTGTATACCAGGTTGGCCTCAAATTCACAGAGATCCTCCTGCCTCTGCCTCCCAAGTGCTAGGATTACAGGTGTGTGCCACCACGACCCGCCTGGCACTTTGAGGATTCTTACCCACTGCCACAAACCTGTTATTTCCTGTCCTTTTCAATATGGCTTTTTTGTTTGTTTTGTTGTTTTGTTTTGTTTTGTTTTAAACCCCAGAGAAGGTTGAAGGGTGTGTTATTTCATAAACCATGACAGGCCTTTTGTCCATCCTAATGAGTGCCAGTAAAGAAACTAACAGTACTGTAGTATTACTGTGAATCTGTACACACCCATCTGTGATCCCTAGTTCAGTATTTCATCCCTTAAAACATCTGGCCCAAACCTTTCCCATCTGCCACTCCTTAGGGACACAGACATTGAAGGAGCCGCTGCTGCCGCCGCTGCTGCCGCCGCTGCTGCCGCGCCGCCGCCGCTGCTGCGTGTATGAGCGGTACTGGCTGGAAGCCTGCAGGAAGCTCTCTGTGCTCTGAAGGATGCATCACTGCAGGGGCACCTATTGATTTGTTTAGATTCAGTGCTCTGTCCTGTTGCTGCTGCTTCGTTTCTGAACAAGCAGGGTGGGCGGCAATGGGTGGTGTCACAGCGCCCTGCTAGTGACTCTGTGCCCCAGTCATGGACTAACGGTCATCCTGCTGGGCAGACTCACCTTGTGTCTGTCTGCCTCTGGGGCTCGAGAGCTGCTGACTGCAGCAGAGGCCACTGAAACCCAGGCAGCCAGCTGCCAGATCAGAGACTGGGAGCTTGTTTGTACCCTGCCTCTGAGATGCCGGCCAGGGTGGCTGTTATACTAGCCTTTGGCCCCGTTTCTCTGAGTCCTGAGGTGTGTGTTTGTGTAACGTGCCTTTAATGACAAGTTAGGAATAGCCATGCAAAAGCTGCTGAGTTTTTTCTTGGGTGACTAGAGCGAGAGCATCCCAGAATTAACACTGGACTGTTTCTGAAGTGAGCCTTGTGTGCCTGACGAACAGCAGTTGCAGGGAAGGACAGGAGAGAGTGCGAGGTCAGGGGAAGAGAGGGATTTTAATTTTTTACCCATCTTCTTCCTCCCAAGAAGTCCTAACCATATAATACAGTCCCGGGGAAAAGGAGATGGGGTCATACATAGGTCAATATATCAGCAGATATTATTAATCATAAGATGTTCATGAAGGGAGATTATTTTTGAAAGGATAAGATGGTTTATATCAAAGTGCATTATGTGCGTGCATGGAAATGTCGTAATAAAACCCGTTACTTTGTACAGTTGAATATGAAGCACAGCTGGATCAAAAAAAAAAGAATGAAAAAAAGAAAAATGTCATGAGTAGTAACTACGGTCAATGTTGAATATCAGTTGATAAGCATGGGAAGCCATGAGATACCCAAAGAATGAAAAGGAAGTTCTACAGTGCTCTGGTGAACTGTTTGTTCCCGGGCCTCGGGCTGTGAAATACGGGGCGCTTCTAGAAAAAGAATACCTGTGAAAGCAGCTGGGGTGGCCTGGGACGACCCTCGCTGGCTCTACACTCTTGCCGTATGTGACCCCCATCCCTCCCCAAGCCTCTGCCTGTCTTAAGCTGCCTTCTTGTTCTCCAGCAGCCCGCAGAGACCACAGAGGAAGAGGATGACCAGCCCCTCAGCCTGTCCTGGCCGTCCAATGCCCGCAAACAGGTCACGTTCCTCATCGTCCTTCCCATCGTGTTCCCTCTCTGGATCACCTTACCTGACGTCCGCAAACCTGTGAGTGAAGCTCTGTTGAAACCCTTAAAAAAAAAAAAAAAAAAAAAAGTAGTTCATTTCCACTTGTGTGCATGTCATGTCTCTTCTCACACACACCTGGAACTTCAGTCACCGTGATTGTGTAGTGACTAACAAGCCTGAGGCACCCCAGAACTTAGGCGTGTCAAACAACCACCATTTTACTCCGTTCACAGATCTTTCGGGAGGGAAATTGAAGTGGGGTGCTCTGGGGGTGGTTTAATCCCTACCCCCCCCAAACCTGGGACTTCAGCTGGAAAGACTTGCATGGTTGGGGAGGGTGACTTACAACTGAGACCTGCAGTCACCTTCACTATCTGCCCACTCGAAGTGAAGAACGGCCCTGCCACACTTCTGCTCCCATGATGTTCTATGGGGCAACGTAACAATTAGCTCCCATTAGCCAGCCAGTCCCGCCACTCTGGACCATATCACATTCTTCTGTAGAGAATTATAAAACTGTACTTGGTTTCTTGATGTCCTCTTGTTGGGTAAAAGAAAACACTGAGCCAAACAGCATAGAAGCAGGGAAATGATTGGCATATTAGTTACTTTCCTTGTTGTTGTAACAAAAGCAGACAAAAACAACTTAAGGAAGGGTCCCAGTTAGAGGTGCCGTGGTAGTGACTCGACCGTTGTGTCTAATCAGACGGCAGGAATAAATCAGTGGGGCACTCGGAGGCCTCTTTCCTTTTTATTCAGTTGGGGACAACAAACCACCCATGGGTTGGGACCACCCACATTTAAGGTGGGTCCTTCCTCCTCAATTAACCTATGACCCTCACAAAGGTGCCCAGAGGCTAGGGTCTGGTTACTGTAGATCCTGCGAAGCTGACCATCAGTATAAACCATCAGAAGGGATACTGATTCTAAGGATCAGAAGTCTGTGCTAGGCTCAGCCATACAGTTCTCCTGGGAGCGGGTTACCCTAGGAGCATCCCAGCTGAAACAGCCTGTCTGTGTTCTATGTGGTCTCTAATCTTTAAGCAGTGGGGTCTGAACTTAGTCATCGGATAGCAAAAGACCAAGAGCTACAAGAATGAAGCCTACAGAACCCTCCTGAGAGCTAGTTCAGAATCTGTTCTCTATCACGACCAGCACGTTGTATTGACTGAAGCCAATCCTAAAGCCAGCCGACACCTACGGGGGAGAAATAAAACTCACCTACCGATGGGAGAGGTGGAGTGATGTACTGTTTTGTTTGTTTTTTCAGCCCTACTCCAGGCCTTATTTATGTCCACAAAGGCCACTGGAGGTGATATCAAGGGGAGGAGAAAAATAGGGAAATTAAGGAGCAGACATTTGCCCCTCCTTAGGGCCCACCAGCTCTGTCTCTCCTGCAGTTTTTTAAATTCTTTGTAGGGATGAAAATCCCAAACCTTACCAGTAATTACAGGGAACGAATGATTGTATAGCTCTAATTTCAGAATAAATATCACTCCCACTTGTGTTCGTTCCCACATCATTCCTATGCAAATTTTATGGCAATGTTTATTGACTCACACATACTTTCAGCTCAGATATTAAATAGATATGCCACACTTTATAGTTTTCTTAAATAAACAACTTTGTGTGAAACCAGAAAGGGCTGCAGTGTAAACCTGGGCATGAAACAAACCTTGATGAAAACTGAAGATTAAGAATAATACAAGAGTAACGTGATTTTCTCCCATGGCCTGAGAGGGGTGTTCACACAAAGGAGGGGTGTATCTCTTGAGACAGGAAAACAGGATCCATTAGAACCAGAAAGGAACCTGGACACCCAGAGAGGGGTTTGCAGTTTGGGTCATTTATCTAGCAGGAGCCAAACGCGACGTAGCAAGAATGAGGTGACTAAGACCCAGGGAGGCTTAGAGGTTTGTTCAATCACAGCTGCGAAGAGAAAGCCAAGCCTCCTCCATACCAGGCATCCACAGTCGCTTTGCCTCCCCAGGTCTCAGCCTCTCCGTCTCTTAAAGCCTGTGATGAACACAATGACGGACAGTATCAACCGTGGTTGCTGCCGGGGCACTTCTCATGTCTCGGGTGCTTGGCTTGGCTTTCTGTGTACATGACTCTTCAGAACATTTAGATTTGTGCTACCCTCCCCTCCGCGTTACAGAAACCAAAGCTTAAAAAAGCGAAATAGTTTTCCTAAGTGAAAATCACTGCTCATTTGGGAGTCACTATCATAACCAGTGGCCATCGTTTCAATCTTAATAGGGCTGTTGTGGAAAACTTTTTAAAGTGTGTATACTTCAGGGGACGGCAAGATAGTTGAGCAGGGAAAGGCAATTACTAACAAGACTTACGGCCTAGATTTGATTCCCAGGACCCACATGGGGGAAGAAGATAACAGATTCCCACAGGTTGTTTTCAGACCTTCATACATACATGCATAAACATGCACCTCTCCGTGTGTGTGTAAGTGCTCACACACACACACACACACACACACACACGAATGAACAGATAGATAAATATGTAAGTGTAAAATATTTCAGGTTTAATAGTAACTTAAATGGTAAACACGGCTTCTCAGAAGGCCAAGGAAAGACAGCTAGCTATAAATTTGAAACCATCCTGAGCTATATAACAAGACTCCCATCCCTTCCACCCAAATTTATATTCTTCAGACCATTACACAAAGTAGATGATCGGTGACTATTAAATTTAGAACAGCCAGGACATGGCCAGCTCGCTCAGCCAGCTGTTGGCCAGTGACTTTTTTCAAATCGGTATCACACTGCTCTACTAAAAGCTTCTAATGGGAACATTAGCTGTCAATTAGGTACCCAGCCATTACACTGGAAGCAAAATGGGCAGCACATGGTCACAATTTGCTCATTTGCTAATTGATGTGAGGCCCACCCTAACAGATGTCAGGACGAGCCACCTTTACCGACCAGAACCTGATGGGTTAGACCTTGGCTTCCAGGGCTGGTTTCTCTCTTCCAATGAGAGACTCGTAACCTAATACCTGTGTAGATGCTCCTGGGCAGTGGTGCCCAGAGTGAAGCCATGGAACCCACATGAGGAGCGTGGTCTAGACGAGAATGAGTGGGGTGATTTCTGGGTTGGGAGACTGGACAGGGTAAGACAGCTTGACGGAGAAACGAATTAACCAGACTGCTGGTGCATGAAGGGTTGCCGCTTCTGAGGCAAGAACAATCTGGGAGGCTGGAGAGGCAGGTGGCCTTACAGCTGGAGCGCTGACCTCGGTTTCCTGGATGCTTTTGTTTTATTTCCTGACGTTGGGAAGAGAGCCCAGCACAATGATGACGGCGCTCACTCTGCCTGTGGCTGGCTGTATTTTGACCAGTTTGGGCCCTGCTTTCTTCCAGGAAGTGATGGTAAAGCATACGTGTTAGGCACACGTTGCTGTGTAGTCAGTGAACCTGAACTTCATCTCTAGTTGAAGAGCTGGGTATAGAGTAGGTAGCCAGTCTTTACCTTTCAGCTGATAGTGAAGAGCTTGAACTTCACTAAGAATATTTGTTTTTAGTGTTTTTGAATAAGCCTCTAATTCAACATTTGATATTTTTGACAGGTGTTAATTATTAATTGGTGTAGCTCAAATTCTAGTTGGTCTTAATAAAAAAAAAACAGAGTCAGATACCAGGGGGTGAAAACTAAGTGATCAGGGAAGCAGAGTAGTCAGTCACCAGAGTTCTCGCCTCTACTAATGCTCAGACTGAAAGGGCCATCCTGTGCTCAGACTGCATGCTCAGACGGCAGCTGTCTTCACCAAACCTCAGGCCGCACTGAGTGCCTGTCTCCTCCCGTCTTATATTCATCTCTCCTCCCAGCCATATCACTCCTTCTCCACCTCCCTAGTGCTGGGATTAAAAGCACAGGATTCCAAGTGCTGGGATGACCTTTGTGTGAGCTGTTTCTCTTTTCAACAGATTCAATCTCACTTAGCCTTGAACTACCAGAGATCCCTCTGCCTCTGTCTCCTAAATCCTGGGATTAAAGGTGTGTGCCACCACTCCCTGGCCTCTAGTGACTTAACTCTATACTTCAATCTTCAGGCAAGCTTTATGTGCTAAACCACAAACAAAATATCACTACAAATTGGTATCTTGAGAATCCTAAGTATCAAGTATTGAACTGTACAGGTTTTCACTGATTTGCATTTGATTCTTTACGTCCTTTGCCTCGTCCCTAGCTTTGTCCACTTCTCTGGGAATGTTCTAGAGTTCAGTGATATAAGGAAATCTTAGTACTTCAATTCTGACTGACGATGTCATCTCAATGGGCAGACATGCAGAGGGGAAATCTAAAAGTATATTAAATGAAAACTATACAGTAAAAATACATTCAGTGAGTAGATGAACCTGGAAGTAGACAGCCTGTGAAGACATCTCAGGACCCGAGGTATGGCTGTCTCACCATAAAGTCAATAGCAGTGCTCTGGGCTTCTCATGCCACACTCAGAACCCTAATCTGGTTGATGCTGGAGCCAGGGTGGCCTTGTGTGACAAGAGTTGCCCTCTCTTCCTGTGACTGAGCATGACCCCGGGAGACTGAAACCTGCGTCCCACTTAGAACCCTGAAACAGTGACTTAGAATCAGAAGGAAAAGCTGGGAAGTCCAGTCAGCTCAGCGCCCTGCCTGGGCAAACCTGGGGTCTTCTCAACTGTAAAACCCAGTTCCCAGTCTCCAAGAAATTTGTTTTGAAAAGCGAAGGTGTAGACTCCGCTTTGAAAAACAGTGCCCCCCACATCATCCACTGAAGTGCTCGGGTCTCCAGGACAGACCAGAGTCCTTACCCAAAATACTTTTATTCTAAGAAGGAAGAGGAGCATAGGGAAGCATGCTTGTGAGATTTGGTCTTCTCAGTGTGGCATGACACTCCCTCCCAATTGAGCATGTCCATTTGGTCTTACAGTCACCCCAAAGAACACCCCACCCCAGCAACAGTCATTTCCAGAGAGAAGAGATCCTTGCAGAGTCTAAGGCCTGTGTGGATGGTAACAAAAAAAAAACTTTCTCAAAGTCTGAAATTACAGAGACTGCAAGCCCGCTCTGGAACCCGAGAGCCTGTCTATCACTGGGCTTCAGGTTTAAAAGATTGCCACACACAAATTTATCTTTTTTCTACCCCTGAGCCTTTAAATGCCACAACAGAATGGACTCTGTAACTGCCCAGTCCAGCCCTTCAGACAACTCAGACAGCTGCTATCCACATCAACTCCAGGAGCTGGTGCCCTGAACGGAACTGGGTGACATCATCAAAGTGTGGTTTTCTCAGGGTGTAAAAGCTTTGAAATAAAAGTGTTGGCAAGAATAGGTGGTGGACTCTCAAAGAGCATTCGGTTATCTGTGTCCCATGTTTTCCATCAAGGGAATCAGCAGAAATTAATTCAGTGCAAGCCACAATTTCCCTGGAATGGAACTGAGTAAGAAATACTGCATTTGTTATTGAATTTATTTTTCTGGTCCTTGTGATCAGAGACCACTTACAGGAGTTGGTTCTCTCCTTTCACTCCATGTGTTCTAGGGATGGGACATGGTGTCTGGCTTGCCAGCCGGTGACTTTACCTACTGGGCTGTCTTATTGGCCCTGAAAAGCCACATTTCTAAGTGTCTGATTTTTGATTGATGCTCCAAGGAAACTTTGAGTGTGTTCACACAGTTTGTAAGTCCAGTGCTGGAAGCAGAACGGGACTTGTAATATAGGCCGGAGAGATGTAAGACAGGTGTAATATAAATGTGTGACAAACACAGTTCCAAGAATGGTGTCTGTCCCGCCCCTCCCTGGCAGGGATCATTCTGATTGGACGTCTCCATCTCTGCCCACTCCAGCTGATGGGTATTGTCAGTGTCATGGAGACAACCCATCCCAGCCATCTCTGGTGGTGGCTTTCCTGATAATTCATGGGACTCTAAGATAAATTAATCTATTTCCAACCTTCCTAATCCTTCCCATCTTTTGTTTCATGGAATCAATCACGTAAGAGGTTTAGTATAGAGATTATCATGGCACATGGTTTCCCAGCAGTAGATTCTGATGAACTGATTCTGGTGAACTTGGAAGCAAACTAAAGAAAAGGGAAGAGATAGAGGGAGGATGCATGATATTTAACAGAAGGAATGACAGAGAATCCAGACCTTATAAGAGACAGGAGCAGGGGGCATTGATCTTCTAGCTACAGGTATGGACATTCTCTCAAGTGACTTCCAGAACCCAATACAGTGGTCCACGTCACAACAGTTGGGAGGTTGAAACAGGAAGACAGGATTTGAGACCAACCTGGGCTGCATAATGAGTTCTGGGCCATCTAGGCTAACCTGGGCTATGAGACACTGTCTCAAAGAGAGAAGTGGGGGTAAGGGGACAGAAGGAAGAAAGGGAGATTTCCTTCCCAGTTCTGCAACCATTCAGCTCCCATCAATTTAAATTTCCAAGAATGCATTTTCCTCTCCCGGTTTGATTAGGGGCAAGTAGCATCTTTTGATTGCTAACGCAACCAAGTAACAAATGTGAGGGAAATCACAGCGAAGGCAAAGGTGGCTGTCGCTTTGGACTATCTCTCCAGCATAGAGGGCAGCTCTGACATTTTCCCCTCTGGTTGTCTCGCAGGCTTCCAAGAAGTTCTTCCCTGTCACGTTCTTCGGCTCCATCACTTGGATCGCAGTTTTCTCTTACCTGATGGTGTGGTGGGCACACCAGGTAAGACTGCCGGTGGCACCCATCTGCCCGGGTTGTCTCTAGTCTTGCTTGTCAAGTGGTCAATCAATGTGTTTGCCTTTTGGAACTGTCGTAATACCGAGTGTGACATAAACAAGTTTCATTTCAGGACTGGATTTTCTTATTCCCCAGCATGGTGGTCAGAAATCAAATCCGCATAGCTGTTAAATAGCTCTGTGGAGGAAAGCAAGTCCGGCTGATTCTTCTTGTCTGTCCCCTAAGGCCTGGCCAACCAGGACTTGGACAGAAAGTCAAGATTTTGCCTACCTCAGTATCTTTATTTTGTCTTGGACAAGCAACTCAGCATGGCTGTCCCCAACTCTGTGTGTGTGTGTGTGTGTGTGTGTGTGTGTGTGTGTGTGTGTGTATGAGTGCTTGTGTGTGTGCATTGCGTGTATGTGTGCATGTGTGCACATATGTGTGAGTCCGTATGATTGGCATAGGAAGTCTTCCATGTTCTCCCTACCTAAAATGACCTTGAAATAGGGTCCCTTACTAAACCTGTATCTTGCCACTTCTCAGCAAGGCTGGCAGGCAGAAAACCCCAATGTTCTTCCTGTCTCTACCCCAAAGCCCTATGCTGGGGTTACAGGCCTTTTCACATGGATGCCTGGGCTCTGAACTGCAGGAATTTAAGAGGGCTCTTACCCACTGAGCCACCTCCCCAACCCTCACCAAGCCTTTTAAAAATGGTTATTAAGAAAGGCCGTGAAGACAAAGTAGTCATCCTTGGGCTTTAATTTATAAATGTAAGGATGCATGTCATTTTTGTCACTGTTAGCTCAGTACCGGTCATAATGCTGATCTCAAGATAGGGTTTCAGTGATTGCTGCTTAACAACTTGAATGAGTGATGTTTGAGGGCTTCCATTCTCAAAGACAAGAGTGGAAACCATTGCTTGTTGAGTGTATGCTCCATGCTGGACAGTTCACATCCCTTTGTCATTTTACTATTGTTTTTGACCCTGCACACAGACTCAGATACTCTGAGGGGGAAATGATCATTATCTACAATATACAGATAAAAAAAAATTGAGTTAACAGCTAATAAGATAAACGCCCAAGCAGCCGGGTGCAGTGCCACACGAGTGGAATCCTAGCACTTGGGAGGTAGAGGCAGGAAATTCAGGAACTTGAAGCTAGCCTCATCAGAGACTTGGAAGGCATCCTGGGCTGTAGGAGGCTCAGCCATGTTCATAACCACACCACCATGCTTCTTTACAGTTTGGACTCTTCTATAAGGACTGGCATTCAAACTCCAAATATCAACAAAAAAAATGTGTATTTTTTAAATGATCATTGCGATAGCATTCCTTCTAAGAATTTAAATTATTAAGAATGTATAAATTAGCCAGGTGGTGGTGATGCACACCTTTAATCCCAGCACTTTGGAGGCAGAGGCAGACAGATCTCTGTAAGGTCAAGGCCAGCCTGTTCTACAAGAGCTAGTTCCAGGACAGGCTCCAAAGCTACAGAGAAACCCTGTCTCAAAAAGCCAAAAAAGAAGAAAGAAGAAGAAGGAGGAAAAGGAGGAGAAGGTATTCAACCAATTGCTATGTACTTAGGGTGAAAAATCACTTAGTCAGCATGAAGGAGACCATTTTGCCTCCTGTTGCCGAGGGAAATCACCAGTGTGATTCATGCCGGAAGTAGGAGCTTAGCGCCTACAGCGGGTGGCTTCTTCACCTGTTTCTTCTTGTAACTCTTTTTGCCCAAGTAATTTTATGCACAACCCCAGATGTATTGCCCTAGAAAACAAATACATAAATCAAACATTTGTTCGCAATAAGTCATAAATTTATTTTAAAACAATTCTTTGGTGCGTATATAATTTAACCATTTGTTAAAGGTGAAAGCTCCCTGCATACTGCTCAAAGGGTCTTGCTTGTGTGTTGTTGCATGAAGAATTAAACCACAGAATCACGTGTGATGCTGCAGGACAGAGTGCATACATGGTGCCTTTCCCTAGTTGATCATTATTTGATTTTTAGAATTGCCTGAGAGCACTGCATCATGCAAACATGCAGTCCAATATGGTACAGGTACGTTTAGGACTACTTCAGAAATGCTTAGAAATCCTGCCCTAATCCCAAGAGAGATAGAATTTATTTAACGTTTTTTCATTTATTTTATGTATTTGGGCAAAGAGGCGCCTACCCATGCCAGAGCACGCATGTGGGCCTCAGAGGACAACTTCCAGCGTCACTTCTCTCTTTCCAGTTTGCAGGCTCTTGGGATAAGGTCGTCAGGCTTGGTCGCAAACACCATTGCCTACTGAGCCATCCCAGGCCCTCCTTTAACAACTTTCCAGGGGCTGGAGAGATGGCTCAGAGGTTAAGAGCATTGCCTGCTCTTCCAAAGGTCCTGAGTTCAATTCCCAGCAACCACATGGTGGCTCACAACCATCTGTAATGAGGTCTGGTGCCCTCTTCTGGCCTGCAGGCATACACACAGACAGAATATTGTATACATAATAAATAAATAAATATTTAAAAAAAAAAAAAAAAAAAAAAAAAACAACTTTCCAGGAAAGTCAAGTCAGCAACTCAAGCAGGAATTTTTATAATTTAATATTACAACATAATATAATCCACGGTGTGCATGTTGCTTGCATGTGGATTACTTCTTTTACATTTTTAAGTTTTTATTAAATTTATTAGTGTGTATCGAAGCAGAGAAGACAGTTTGCTGGAGGGTCTCTCTTCTTCCACTATGTGAGCCCTGGAGTTCTAATTCAGTCCACAGGCTTGGTGGCAAGTGTCATTACCTGCCCTGGGACATACCTTCTCGTTGGTGGGGACAGTGAATCTATGTGCCTGGAGGACTGAGTCAGCTCAATAGACTTGGGAACAAACTGTCAAATTAAAAACCTGCCTTTAAGTTACCAGGAACCAAGATATTATGTATTTATAAATCAAAAAAGAGGTTTAAAAATAAGTATTGTATTCCCTAAAATTCTTTATTCTTGTATTTTATTTTACCCATTAAATTATTTTTTTAAACTATATTTTAAAAAAAAAAAACCTCTGGATGTCATAACATTGGAAAACATTGTCTAAATTTTTTTGAGAACAGCAATACACCAGTAATTCTGGAATAATGCTCCAGAAAACATATAAGGTTTATTGAAGCCCCCACAAAGTAAGGTGTTCAAGAAACAAAGGGAAATATGTGTGGTAGCTTGCAGTCACTATCCTAGAATCAGATGGCAGAAAAACAGAAGCAAGAAGATCCCAAGTTGAAAGCTAGCCCAGGCTACATAGTGAGATGCTGTCTCAAAGAAACCATGGCTGGATGCGCAGCTTGATCGTAGAGTGCTCACCTAGCATGTGCAATGCCCTGAGTTTGATTCCCAGTATAGATGGATGGATGGATGGATGGATGGTGAATGAATGGATGGATGATCGGTGGATGGATGGATGGATGGATGAACTAATGGATGGCTGGTGAATGAATGGATGGCTGATGGGTGGATGGATGGATGGATGGATGGATGGGTGGATGGTGAATGAATGGATGGATGATGGGTGGATGGATGGATGGATGGATAGATGGGTGATGGATGGATGGATAGATGGGTGATAAATGGGTGGATGGATGGATGGGTGATGGATGGATGGATGGATGGGTGGGTGATAGATGGATGGGTGGATGGATGGTGAATGGATGGATCGATGGATGATGGACGGACGGATGGACGGACAGATGGATGGATGGATTTTCTATTTGAGACTAGACCAACTATCCAAACACAGATGGCAGTCTTAAGCAAAGACCATAATGAAACAGAACACTGCACCTTCTCACTTTTCAATAACAATGTGCTCTTTATAAGAGCTTTCCTGAAAACTATCATTTTGGCTCACAACTTTCTTGTCAGGTAAGTATTATTATCCCTACTTGATTGCTAAGAAAGTAAGAATCAAGACATTGTACAGGGAACGGTTATCAATTGGTCAAGTCCTTACGGCAGCCCTGGGACCAAGGCCCTCTGATTCCTTGCAATTGGTTTGTTGACTTAGCTCCATATTTCTAAGCCTAAGTTCACCCAATGCCAAGTTCCCTGTGGAAATAGTAGAGGTTATATGTGTTTTAGAGTGATAGAAGTAATTGAAGGCATTAAGAAAAAAATGGGACATTGTCTTAACACCCAATAGTAGATTGTCAGGTGCTGGCCTTAGGCTCAAAGACCACTGGCTTTTCAAATGAATCTTGCAGCTTCTCTGACAGTCTTAGAAGACAACAATGTGGTGGCTGCACTGAGGGTCTCTACAGCCCTTTATTATTTAAAATAGTCTGGTTAGTCGTCATGTGCACATCTATGACTTCCTGGCTATAGATGCTGAAGTGCATTAACTCCTTTATCAGTGACTATGGCTGATTCTTTTATCTTACATCAGCACTTACCCTAAAACAGAGGAGGGAGTCATTCAAAAGAGGTCACACAATGGTGTTGGGTTCTGCAATTTCAGCCCTCACATTTTTCCTTGTTCTGCTATCCAGGTTGGAGAGACTATCGGCATTAGTGAAGAGATCATGGGTCTGACCATCTTGGCTGCTGGGACCTCTATCCCTGATCTTATCACCAGTGTCATAGTGGCCAGGAAGGGGCTGGGGGACATGGCCGTGTCCAGCTCTGTCGGAAGCAACATCTTTGACATCACTGTGGGGTGAGTACGGTGATCTATAAGCATGCACACCAGCTCCAGTCTGTCTTTTTCGTCATAGAAGCTACAGAAAACATGAGCTGGCTCTCTGAACCCAAAACTTGTCCAAGTTCCAACCAAAACTTCTGCCTGGGAGCACCATTCCATTTTACCAGCTGGCTTTTTGTTTTCAGGGAACTTAATAAAACGAAGTCATCCCTAAACCAGCAGAAACACATACTTACATACAGAATGTTCTAGAAGGTAAGAATTTCATTTACATAGCTGCGCTCACCACAAAATATGGATGTGCACTGCCCAGGTAGGACTGGGCTGCCCTGTCAGTTTCATGGTGTTTTTTCCTACCCTCTAATTACTGCCCTGACCAGGTGAGATTGGATCCAAAGGCAGCTTGGGACACACCCAGGCCCAGCATTGATAACTTGTCTTCTCACTTGGAAAATGCTGGCAACCTAGGTTTTGTGAAAGGCAGATGAGATCTTTTCCCTGAGCTGAGCAAACTAGAGTTGTCACCGGGAATAATAATCTGTAGTGAGCCAGATTGGCAGGGACTCTGTTATCGCTCCCATTTCATCTAACTTGTCAAAAGTAGTTGACAAATGACCCTGAATGTCAGCTCCCGAGAAACTCAAGTCACAGGGTCTCTATGCTGCGGGATAATAGGTTTCTTGGTCCTGGAACTGGGAAATTCACTTAGAGGATTCCACTTTCTCATTGAACATTTTGAATACTGTTCTGCCTTTTCCCTTTTCATTAAACCATTGTACGTATATTTATCCTTGTTCATATGGTGCTTACAGTTAGCAATTTAAGACACACAACAGTCATGTGGATAACCTATTATCAACCTTAGTCATTGTTCACGTAGTGCTTACAGTTAGCAGCTAAAGACACACAATGATCGTGTGGTTTATGTGTTATCAACCTTATTCCTGAGTATGGGAGCTGGAGGGCACAGAGCTAAGGCAGCAGGTAAAGATAGCTGGAATTAGAGCAGGGTCCCTGAGGATAAGTACTCTGCCTGAGAGTAAAACCCAACTGAGTGTTCACTGTCTGAATCTGCTGTCAATCACCAAGGTGCCCTCTCCTGGATTATGTGCCTTTGCTGGCCACCCACCAAGGAGCCTCTTCATCTGTCTACAGGAAACCCTGACTTCTGTTACAGAGTCTATTCAAATCCAGAGGTTTCTACTCTGGTAGACTTAGCATATTGTATTCTCACTGTGATTATTTCCTCCTGCCAGTCTGTGAGCCCTTCAAGCATCCCCTACTGAACTCACATAGCCTAGCCCCTTGTCTAATCACAGTAGCATCTCTCGAGGCTTCTAGAATGAACAGCTATGTGGGTGTGTTTTCACGGTTCTGGGATAAGCTATCAGTCCAATCCTTCCACTTACAAATTTACACTCCCCTTAGAGGATCCAGCGAGGGGGGAAGGAGGAGACTGTTCTGTCGTGTAAAAGGAAAAAGTCTGCTACAACTCTAAGTATTCAGATAGACGTGTTTGCCATGTTTCCCAAAGGCACATGCCCTAACAATTACAACATGCTCCTTGTTCATTGTTACTAAATTAGGCATAAATAACAACAAAGGAAAGTCTCTCAGTCTTCACTAGACCTACTGGCAAAAGCCCTTCATTTTTTATCTTCTGCAAAGATTCAATAATTTTTCTTAGAGAATATTCAGTTTTGTTCTCTTGAAGGGCATTTATCTTTTCCAAAGCCGTGTGGTCCTGGCATGGTGTGGCCTCTCCTGGTAAGCTGGCGGGCCCCATGCACTGCTCTGCTCAGTGTTTTTATAGCCCTCAAAACTAATGCTGACTTCAGGCATTTCATCCTGTTGCACCCCAGGTTAACCAGTGTCTTTCAGTGGAGCTTTCTCTTTCTTCTTTTGCTTTATGCTGTTATGGGAATTTTATGGATACCTTTATATAGAAAATTCTCTTTCAATTATTTCATTAGAATAAATCCCTTAAAGGAGCAATAACAAACTATGTATTTTGAATATTTTAATGGGTATTGATATATTTTATATATTTCTTTTCAAAAAAAATCTTTTCCAAAATGTGTTCAGTTATATGTTTTTGTTGTCAGGACACCGGTTGCACTGTTAACAATACAGTGAGTGTAGTTTCTCTATAGTCAGTCTTACCAGTATTTTCTATGCACATGTGAATGAATACATAAGGGTTTTAGAAGATATATATAGAAATCAATAATGATCAACCACCCACTCAAATATGTATATTTTGCATGATTAAAATTACATTGCTAGTTTTATTTTTGCCATTCAGTTTTTCAATTAAAATTATACCCAAGGCCCTGCATTCAATCCTAGCACATCAATAAGTAGATATCATGTGAGCAGTGGCAGCAGAGGGATCAGAAAGTCAGTATCATCCTCCGTTCAATAGAAAGTTCACAGTCAGCCTGGGCTACACATGAGACTCTGACTCAGAAAAATGAAAATAAAAGACTAAATTGAAAATTACATCATGAGTATTTTCCTATTAGCATTAAAGGCTTGCAGAGTTTATTGTTCAACAGTTTAGCTCAGTTGTGCCATGGTCTCATGCAGCCCAGGCTGGCCTCAGACTGCCTATGTCGCCGAGAACTCCTGATGCCCCTGCCTCCACATCCCAGGTGCTGGATTTGAGGCACCACGTCTGTCTTAGACAATGCTGGCGAACTCGAGGCATCTCGCATGCTAGGCAAGCCCTCTTCCAGCTGCTTGGCAGCCCCAATCTCTAAGCTCGCGATTTTAAATAGCCACATAACATTACACCGGCCTACGCACTCTCTAACTAGTTCCTTATTGCTAGAAATTATAAAAAGATCCCCAACTTTCTCCTAAATAACACTGAAATGCTCATTCTTCTGATTGAAGTTGCATTTGCAGCTCATTCCCTCCCTGTGCTTGGTCACTGACAACAGAGGTGACAGAACAAGAGGCGTGAAAAAAATGTCACTCCCTGAAAAGAGGTTTTCCAAATTATCTGAAACGCCACCAGCCTCGACTTTACCAGAGTCAGTTGTGCATGTGTGTACGTGTGACTGTGGGTCGGTCAGCTCTCTGCCCCCATAATAAACATCTAAGCTCTGTCTCCTTAAAGGAGAAATGGTTTATTTTGGCTTAGGGCTTCAGAAGTGTCAGCCTGTGGTCTATTGTCCCTCTTGCTTCGGGCTTTGGGCAGCCAGCGTATCACAGTGGGACTTTGTGGCAGAGAAGGCCTGTTCACCTCATTGTGGCCAGGTAGCAAACGAAACAACAGAAAGGGAACAGGGTCCCAAAAAACCCATTCAAGGTCACGACCCCTGTTGACCTATCTTCCTTCCATCCTGCCTTCTAAAGGTCCCATCACCTCCCAAAAAACCTCAGACCAGAGACCACACTTTTATTTAACACATAGCCTTAAAGGAATGTTCAAGACCCAACTATAGCATGGAGTTCAGTAAGTGTTTGGCGCCCCCAGCCCAGAGAGATCCTCTGAAGTAAGCATCTCCCACCAGGCTCTACCGAGCAAAACACCTGTGCTGTCATCGCAGGTGGTAATGTCAATGACTTGAGCTTTGCCCAAGTCATCAAAGACCCCAGGGGATCTGCATGCGCTGGGCCTGGGAATTCGAAAATACATACACACTGTGGGCTCTAGTTTCACACACAGTGTCTCTCACTATTGGCTGGTTTTAAAATAATGCTTATGTCTTATTTGTTTTCCCATTAGGAAATTTTGGAATTCAAAATTTTGGAATTCAATTCCTCCCCTACATCCCAGAACCATAACTGAACCCTCCTAGCCACGCACCCCTAACTGGCTGCATGCCACAGAGCTGCCTCCAGAGGGCAGCACACCACTAGACCCTGATATTTTCAGCCATGTTTCTAACGCCTGTGTCTTCCCGGCAATGGCTCTGCCTGGTAGATGTCAGAGTCGGCTCCGGTTAGGGAGCAATGGGTGTTGTCGGATTTCAAATGTCAGTTCAAAGCAAGAAAACTGGTAGGAAATTTTATAATAAAGATTTTAAATTCATTATAAATAAACAACCCTCTTTTGTGTACTGTTTGAGAAGGGGGGGCGGGAAGCGGGGAAGTCTCACTGTAATTTGGAAGTAATGCCAGCTGTCCTGGAACTCACTCTGTAGATCAGACCAGACCTCAAAACTCACAAAGAGTGGCCTGCTTCTGTCTCCTGTGTGCTGGGACTAAAGGCACACACCACTACGCCAGCCCAAGACCCTTTTTAATAAATGATTATCCCAATCTTTCCCAGCATAAACTTCAGACTGCCACGCAGTACCTCGGTCCCCACCACCATCCTACAACCTCACTGCTGCGTTTTAGGTTCTCAGAGGAGTCCTTGCTGCTCTGTCTCCATTCTGAAGGCGAGATGGCCTTTTCTCCACTTTCGCCCCTCACTCCTACACCGTTTCCTGCTGCCCTCTCCTCCCTCCACCTCATGCAAATTTGCCCCACCTTTCCAGGGCTGGAGACACACTGTAATCTCCCCTAGGAAGAAGACAAAAGCAAATTCGGATCAAATCCCGAGGTCGCCTGTAGCGTCATGCCTTTGATATGGTCCACGGGAGAACAGAT